GACACTCAAACCAGTGTGACATGTCCCGGTACATGTCCTGGGAGGCACCTGGCCGGAGGCACCTGGCCTGCAACCATTGTTCGACAGCACGGGCAGTCAGCCCGAGCGGCGAGATGACAGACTCATCACACCCCACTTGCTGGAAGCAATATTCGCTGAATGGGACAGCATCACCTGGACCATACACGTGTTTGGGTTGTGTATGTGTGTATGTGGGGGCGGTGCCGTCATAATGACCCTCGTAAGTGCTGCGGAACCTATTATTGGACAGTTCTGTATGGACTTATTGACCGATCTAAGGATATTGAGGAATGAAACTTTATAATAGGCCCTGGTGGGTTGCTTGGAGACCTTTTTTTCAATGTACAGTTTTTAAATGCAGAGCTTCTTTTTATGTAGAGCGTTAGCGATGTAGAGCTTTCCTAATGTAGAGCTTTGGGCCACAGAGCTCTTTCTATGTATATATCGTAAACAAATTCTCTGTAAAGTTCCCCTTCCTCCTGCCACGGCATCTTCATCCTGGATCTCCTGTGCCGCAAAGGCCGGTTGCAACACTACGAATTGCACGTAATTTTGAAGAACAACACCAGCGATTTCTCGATATTCACCAATGTCAATAAAACTTCGAAAGTGTCGTCTCATCGGTACCGTGGTAATATGTGCCAAATTAGACAACCGTAACTTCTTTAGTTTATTAAGAAATTTGATTTCGGTATTTAGCAGTAAATTCTGCAATCACACTAGTAAATGCGGGACAGTGTATGTGAAGCAAGTGCCTAATATTTAAAAAAAACCGCCTTGCCCAGCAAACGGATGCAGCACGCGCTTCCTTCTAAGAGACTACGACGACGTGAGCACAGTTCAAATGTCTCAGCTGCGTTGGGTTTACCCCTTTTCGGAAGACACTCCTTCACTTGAACATGAGTTGCCACTGACTTCCATGCAGCGCCTTCCATGTAGCGCCTTCCATGCAGTGCCGTTTAAACACGTGGTGCGTTGGTGTCAGTGCATTCGAAGCGCGTTTGTGCAGTTTTGAAAGCAGCGCCTGGCCAAGTTAAAGTCAAGGAGCGTCTCTAAATAAGAAACAAAAAGCATGCACGATATTTAGAAACGAGTACCACGTCAGAGGCTTCAGGTGTGATTCGGGGCATGTCCCAGGCTTCACACGAGAGCGGGTCAAAATTAAAAGGCGATGCTTCTGTGCTCAAGTATCTGCAATCATCGCAGAACTTGTCGTGGTAAGTTCAGGTGAGCTCGCACATCACTATTTCCTATCGGAAGACATCGTGTATTTACCTTTCGTGTGTCAAAATGGGCACGCGAGCTACGCTAAAACGCTGACCAGCCTTGCTGGTGTGTTGCGGATTTAGTGACGTCATCGGATACAGATTTTATGACGCCATTCAAAACCCACAAGAGATGACGGATCAGCTCCCTGCTTCAGTTTTTCTTTTAACTCATCGTTCATTGTAATGGAAGTCTGGCCGCAAATAACCTAGCTAGTTGTTGCAGGATGGTGAATAGTATTTAAAAACGGCAGTAGGCAGTATGGTCGAAAATGGACCGAAGTTCCCCTAACGATTTAAATGTACTTCGTGTCCTGTGAGACGTTTTTTGTTTGTGTCAGTATCTTGTGCCATGCAAACCACTCTCGGTGTCCGTGCTGTTGTTCTTTCATTTCTCCTTATATAATGTGGCTTTTTACGTCCTAAAATCTGATATCGTTATGAGACAAGCTGTATTGTATATCATTTGGTGTTTTGTAGCGTTAGCTACCCTGGCCGAGCCAAAGTGCTTTCGCGTGCACGTACCAGAGCCGCGCTGCGCATGCACGAGATGCCTTGACTGCGTGCTCCTCACTAGTCTGCACCAAACAAGCCTCCTTGCTCTGCCTGTTCGAGAGGAGGGACGTAAGGGGATGTCATAGCCGCAGCATGCACGTTCTGATTGTACCCCTTGGCTCGTGCGCATCGAACAACACTGTTCCCTTTGTTCGCGAGTGCCATGGCGCAACATACAGTAGTCGTAAATGATTTTTCATGTAAAGAAAAGCAAGCTAATTTCTGTCTATCTAATTGGTGACACAGCTAACCTCCTTGTAAGAGATGGGGCATGGGGATACCAATGGTCGTTCAAAGAGAAAGGTTAAAAAAAGACAGAGCACTCACCACACACGATTGAGGAAATATGACAGAAGATGTAGGAAAGATGGTGGACATGATCGAAGGAGCGGGGCGTTTTCCAGTATGGTATAGCCATAAAGAAGAATAAATTGCTGCTCAGTGGCGCAAAAGAACGACTATCCTAATTATTTCATCACATCCTGGAGCAGTTGTCAGGAAATTAGCGGTTGAGCGAAGGAAAAACAACCATGATAACGCTAAACATGCTACGAAGACACCAATGGAAGAACGTCTAGCAAAGCGGTGGCACCAGGAGGCCGATTGACTGACTATACGGTGAAGCTTGGCGAAAGCGCCACTGCGACGCGGGCCTGCAAGACGGATTTCGTAAACAATTCGTTTCGATATGTGTGTGACGTGTGCGAAAGACAGTGGCAAATGCATGGAAGACTTGACGCTCATGAGTGCCATGTATTAAACCTTGAGTTTTGCGCTAAATAGTAATGATGATTCCACAGCCATGGCTCATACCCACTCTGGGGGATCGGCCAAGAATCGAAGACTTAATTCAGTAAGTTTTTTTTTTCAACATCAAAACCACCCACCGGAAAAAAGAAAGGAAAAAGAAAAGACACCCTAGGCAGAACGAAAGGGGTGCAATAGTTGGTTGTTACTCATTCAGAAAAGACAATTATTCATTACCTTGAATAGGAATCAGCATCGTAAAACAAGGCTCTTGTGTATGTTGGAAATTTTCGGCCCGAATAATAATCACGCAAATAAAAGCTTGATTCTTTTACTTTCATTATGGTACTTGCAAACTGCATAGAAAACTTTCTCGTGACTGAAGCCCAGATCCTAAGCACCGAAGGAAAGTATATTTTCTATAGTGAAGTTCAGCCCCAGGCTAGCGAATAGAAGACTAAGAGTGTTTTCCTGAGCAATTTGTATCGGCGACATGATAAAAAATAGTGCTCTATTGTTTCCAATTCTGAACAAAAGTTGCATAGTGGTGATATCGCCAGACCAGCCCTATGTGAATACAAATTTAACGGGGGCAACCACATCGAAATCTGGTTATTATGGTTTCCAACTGTCTTGTAGGACATCAATGAATTTTCCATGGAAATTTTAAGTGAGTAAACTCTGGTGTTGACATTATTGCTTCCATAGCGTCTGCACTAAGCGCAAGTTTTCTGTATATTGTCACAGTTATAGTGGCCACTTTGGGAAGGACTGATAGTACTGACCCTTCCAATGCTGGTCGTGCTAATGAGTCGGCGATTTCATTTATTTCTAAGCCACAATGACCAGGTACCCATACTAATTTCACTAGCTGCAGCTGAGGAGGCACTAGCATAAGTTGCGTCGTTAAGACCATCTATTTTGTTGATGCCGTAATCGACGTACATACCGACAGGGAATCCGTAATTATGATCGCGTTATCGGCATTCAAAGGTAGCTTTCGCAGCGCTAGAACTATTGCCAACAGTTCAGCTTCAAACACTAGGGTGAAATTCGGTAATCCTAATGAAAAAGACCAGTCAAGCAAATGGGAGTATGTACCTACACCTGTATTTTTATTCATTACTGAAGCATCTGTGGCTATAGTATTATTCGTGTCTGCGTGTGCAAGATAATCCTGCAGTCGGCTATTTAAGACTCTATAGGATTGTAATTTGGACTTAGAGAGAAAAATCTCATCGAATTCTATCTTAAGAATTTAGCTTAAGATAGAATAAAATTCTAGCTTAAAAATTTCATTTGTAATTTTTGCATTTATTCTATCTAGTTGTTCCTGGGCAAAATCAATTTGAGGTGTTCGAAACCGTGGCCAATGGGCAAGAAAAAAGGTGTCTGGGTCATTTATAAAAGCATATTCAGATTGTCTTGGCGCATAGCTATAAAATTTCAGAAACGTCTGAACCATTAGGATACGAAAACGGCAAAGCAATGTAGGTAATCATGCTTCCCGATTCAAAACATTGTTTATTACAAACCTAGGAAGTCCTAGACACGATCTCAAGGCTTCGCGTTCAGGCATAACCAGAGGCTTTATTTTGGGAACAGGGCCACCTGAAAACAATACGCACCCAAATTCTAGCATTGGTCGCGTATACATTTTATATATCATCACCATTGTACTTCTGCGTAGACCATATCGACGGCTGCTCAGTCTACGAAGAATTCCTAATACGCGTTGTGCTTTAGATGTCATGCTTTCTATGTGGGGGGTCCAGTTTAGGTTGGCATTATAAATTACTCCCAAATATTTAAGAGATTCCACTTGCGGAATGCGCTCTTGTTTATAACATACCGAAAGTGAGATAAGATCAGATAATGGGAATATTAATACTGCACTCTTATTTACATTTAAGGTCATGCAACGTGCATGTAGCCATCACTCCAGCATATTCACATATCTCTGTATATTTCGATTTGAAAAATATATTTCACTATGTGCCGTGAAAAATTTAATATCATCAGCATATAGAAACACCTTCACGTCCTGGCAATGTGGTATAGTGCTCATTAGGATGTTAAATAGAACTGGCGATACTACAGCGCCTTGGGGGACACCGCAAGTTTGTTTGCACTTTGACGTTGCGCACCCATCCTTGAAACACTAGAACTCTCTTCCTCTCAAAAATTCCCTAAGCCACAGGTAAAATTTTTCTTTTCTTCTTGTTCGCTATAAAATTAGCTTTAGAGCTTTCAGAGCATGCTATTTTTTTTGTTCACATACGTCGGCGTCGTATGCTTGTCTTTACAGAATCACAAAAAATTTTCGGTTTTCATAGTTGAACATGCTATACAAACTGCCGAAAACACTTGGCCAGCTTTACCACAGTATTTCACTATTCGATTTTTACTTACGTATTTCGCGCATTCTTCAGGACTACGAGCAGTTTTTCTTTCCTGCTCCACGCTTGAAGCCTCGGCATGAGAACTGAAAAGTGACCAAACATTTAGCGTGACATATAACCTTGTGCGTCTTGTACTGTCATGGGATTCTGACTAAACATCCACGTTATATTAAAAAGCGCCCTGTGTACCCTATTGCAATACACAAAATAAAAATGTGAACTATGATGTGATAAGCCAATAAGCAGTGCTTCGTCTTTCATGCATACTAGCCTGGTGGTACAAACAATCGTTAATACTTTAAGAAGTCGACAATTACGACCATAAGAGCGCAATAATGCATTGAAAAACTTTATGTTATACCTTTTTCTCGGTACTGAAACACTATTACACTGTTGTTGTTTTTTCCTGTGGTTGGAGTTCCGCCTCTATTACTCAATTTTCTTTCCAAGAAAATGAGTGTTCGTCGAAGCATCGATTTCAGTGAGATTTCAAGCTTCAACAAGCGACATGTACACAAATACTTCACGCAGTCTTACAATTTCTGTAACACGCTTGACGAAACCAACCACGGTTGTCGGATTTTTCCGGTATTTGACTGCTGATCTGAATGCCGTGTGATCGAATCGGTCTCATTAAGCGTTCTCCTTAAGGTGGAAAAAAACACTCGAGGCCCACGTGCCGACATTGAAGTACTCGTTAAAGGTGGTAGAAATATGTAGAGTCATCCGCTACGTCATCGCTCATATAGATATTGTGGTTTTGGGGCATTCAAAGCTATTTATTAGCAATTAGCCGAACGGAAAATGGTGCAAAGGCGATGGCTGGTGCAAAGTCTTTTGCAAGCCACTACAATGCGACATGCGAAAGACATTAGCTTAATTACCTCAACTTTGGTTTGTCGATTGTATCCTTCATACAAACTGCTCCACTGACGCTTTCTGCACTTAACGTGGTGTTGCGCTGCCTCCGTTAAAGATCTCCTTCTGATTAACTCTTTTCCTACGTAACTCAGCTTGAAAAGTGTCTGCAGGGTTGGCACAGTTAAGCTACTTCTATTCACTTCCTTGCGTTCTCCCCGGCTTGAACAGGCCACTAGGAGGCTCAATTGGGTCACATGACAACGCGGAAATTTTGCCCTTCATTTTGGACCTTACCAACGCTCATCCTTTCACATCACGTTGTGGTCTGTATTATGTTCAATACATACAGTTATTTATGAGAAATAATACTAGGAACAGCTTAGGGGTTGCGTCATGGATCAATTTTCTTACGTATACAATGATGGGTACTCATATACCCAATCATCAATGCTTCTTCAGCGTAATATTCAGAATTGTTAGCGGTTAATTTCATAGGAGAACGATGCTGTAGTGAAATTGATAGTCAAGACTGGATTTAATACTTATTATTTTGTGAACATACATTATATTAGCACCAAAGTTAGCTTCATTTTTTATTACCTGCATAATTAAGGAGGATATTATCACCCTAATTTAGCAAAAGGACCAACTTTGTCTCTTGTCGGTCTCAAAAGTTCACAATAATATAAACAGCCAAATGTTAACGTTAAGTAAATTGAACTTTTATATAAAATGTATGCGTGGTGTTCAAAGCAGCATTGTTGGACACTTGTCGATAGTAAGAAATAATTTTAATACAAAAGTGTTTGTTGGTGGGGTCCACCATGGCTCCGCTGACGTGTTTTTGACAAAGGTGTGATGTTATAATACTAGGGGTGTGCGAATATTCGAAAGTTTCGAATATTCGTCGAATATTAAATTCGCACTATTCGTATTCGATTCGAAAAAAGTGTATTCGAAAAGTTCGAATATTCGAATCACTTCGAATATTCGACAATATCAAATAGGTATTTGATTGGATTATCATGCGGAAAATAACTTTTCTTTAATATTTCCGCTGGGTTCAGAGATATTAAAACGTTGCCCAGAGGGGCGATAAGCGTCATAAGTGCACGGAGGCACTATGTCGGCCAGCGACGTTCAACAATCAGCAGCATAATAAAATCAGCATGAATAAAATAAAACAAAGTTGACGTTCGTGTAAACGTATTGCACGCTTTTCGTATGCCGCCGTAACGTGCTGCACTACCACACGTTCACTATGCGGGACCTCGTGTGCAGGAACGAAGCTTAACTGCTGCCGCGTTGTCTCATCAAAACATCGCTTGATAACGCACGACCATGCACGCGCGTGCTAAAGCAGAAACTTCGTTACCGTCGGCAAACGCTTCGGTTAGAAAACATAATAAGTGACAAAAAGAGTTCTAGCGGTGATTTGTACCATGACGTCGCATTTATTTCCTTTTTCGAGGAAGTTCCGCGCGTGAGCAGTCGCACAGTTATACAACATTCTCGAAAGCGGTTAGTCCCAACTCGGGATTTTATTGCAAAGTTATGTCGTATTCTCGGCAAGTATGCGTTAAATAACTTGGACTGCATTCTAATCATATTGAATATATGAAACGGTAATCATGCGCCGACCTTTCAGTTTTATATATCTGTATATGCATATAAATATTTTTCGTGCTGGCCACCAGAGCGCATGAGTAGTGGTAGTGCGCCATGTAGTGCACAGTGCTACGTTAGTTGGGTCAGTGGCGTTGGCTAGTGCTGTCCGCCGCTACGATCAGTTCTGCTAGCTTGTGTGTGGTGCACATGGTGCGGTTTTGACGCGAGCCTTTGTAACCTGTGATGGACTCGCGTCGTTAATAAGTGCCATGGCAGATAGCGGAGGTTATGACGACTCACCTGCGAAACAGAGGAACAATCAAGACACGGCGCCGAAACGAAGGGAAAGAAGCGCTATCTGGAAACACTTTGTGAAGACATCGTCGTCATTGGCGCAGTGCAAGACATGCGGCGCAACACTTAAAACGCCAACGGGTACGACTAGTCCTCTTGTTAACCATCTAAAACAGCACCCAACCGCGATGAAGGAGTACCGGATGACTGCAGCAGGTGCGCCAGCGAAAGACCAGTCAATGGTATTTGATTTTGTGCACCGTACTGACCCTTTGTTGGAAAACAAAACTCAAGCACTCAATGCCAAGGTGGCTGCCATGGTAGCGCTTGATTTGCAACCATATAGTTTCGTTGAAGACCGCGGATTTAAGGAACTCATGGCAGAGGCTGTGCCTAACTATCGCCTACCGTCGCGCACCACGCTTTCACGTACCCTTGTTCCGCGCTTGTTTGATGACACACGGAAGAAAGTGAAGGACGAGCTCAGCAGTGCTATTGAAGGGGGAACATCTGCAGTCACCTTTACCAGAGACAGTTGGACATCACGCGCCAACGAGAGTTATGTGAGCTTCACTTGCCACCTTCGCACTCCAAGTTTCAGGATGAAGTGGTTCACGCTTAACACTCGCCACATGGAACTTGTTAGCCACTCCGCCGAAAATATTGCGCAAATGCTTGTCAAGATGTGCGCGGAATGGGAAATACCGGATGGCTGCCGCAAATACATCGTCACAGATAACGGACGCAACATCCGTGCCGCGGTCAGAAGGCTCCCGTGGACTGAGCGTGCGTGTTTCGCCCACACCCTGCAGCTAGCAAGTCACGATGCGATCTCCAACACACCGTCAATTGACCGTCTGTGCAAGAAAGCGAGGCACATCGTGGGCCACTATAAGCACAGCTCGTCTGCGCAAAAGAGATTAGATGAGTACCAGAAGAAGATGGGCAAAGATCCACTTCGTCTGGTGCAAGATGTAGATACGAGGTGGAACAGCCAATACCTAATGCTGTCCCGCCTCTTGGACTTGAAGGAGGCTGTCTCTGTTGAGCTGGCAACGTCAAGTAACAGCATTGATGGTCTCTGCTCAGCAGAATGGAAAGAGACTCTTGAATATCTGGACGCACTGAAGCCCTTATATGATGCAACTGTGATAACTAGTGCAGACAAATACCCATCACTTTCCACTCAGATACCAATTATTTTTTGTATGCTAAGTTGCCTCAGGAACTTTAGCGGCACAACATGCTTTCATAAGGAACTGGCAAGGTCTCTCAATACCAGATTCCCCTTATATACCGAGGACAAAGAAACAGGCTTGGATATGTTTTTGGACCCACGCTTCAAGTCAACGGTATTCAGAAACAAGAAACAAAAGTTGGTGTGGCTGAAAGATCAGGTGCTTCAGGATGTTGCCCTATGCCCTGCTGTGGAAGTCGTGCAGCCAGCAGCAAAAGTGCAGGAGCCACAAGAGTGTGTGCAGCCATCCTCTGATGTTTGGAGTGCATTTGATAATCTTGCAAATAGTCAAGTAGCAAGTACACCACTGTCTACTTCAGAATGGGAAATTAAAGCGTATTCTCAAGAAGCCCTACTGAAGAAAGACAGTGACCCATGTGACTGGTGGTGGACTGTGGTGCACCTTCAGATACCCCAGTCTGGCAAAGCTTTGCCCCAAGTACTTGCCCATACCAACCACTTCAGTTCCAAGCGAGCATGCCTTTTCAGTGGCAGGGGAGGTTGTCTCTGTTCGGAGGGAGCGCCTCCTGCCTGATCATGTGGAGCAACTCATATTCCTCCATGATAACATGTAGTCATTATGTTTAATGATAACAGCTAGTCATTACTTGCATTGTGTTCTAAATAACAGTGTATGTTGTGTTAGCAGACAGGCTGTTATGTATTTTTTAGATAAATACATCTTAAATTATTGTTACTGTAGAGGCATTTGTCCCTTTATATTCGACATTCGATCCGATATTCGAACATGAATATCCATATTCGATTCGTATTCGAAAAACTTCATATTCGCACACCCCTAATAATAAGAGCTTGCAAATAAAAAACGATTATGGAAACTTCCGCAGCGGGGCGTCGAACGTGCGACATCGCACACAGTAGCGTGGACGCTAACCTACATAGCACAAAAAAAAAAAACATGTTTAACTTCTGCACAGCAATTCATTTATGCACACCACGTACCGACGGCGGTCTTCGGAGCTCACTACGTTCAGCGCGTTTTCATCATCAGTAGCAAGATGGCAAGACAGGCGCGCGTTTGGCGTGCGCTCTCGAATGGTTTTCGTGCTGCGCTACCCCGCC